CACTTCTTAGAGAACTCAGGGACCAATGACCTCATATCCTCAGCTACCAGAAACACCCTCTATTGGTGCAGCAATTGCCTGCCGAAGACAATTACCGAGAACCATGGACACGTATCGTTACTGCAGCAACTTGTACAAAGTCTCACATTGAAACTTTGGACAAACTCCCACTTTCACTTTCCTATAAAACAGGAATAGTGCCTAGGTGAAAGGGTAAACTACTTTTTACCTATACTGTTACACTACCAAAATTACTACACATCCCACATTCGTTGAGTTAGCATCAGAGAGCCTTCGGCAGGTACCACACCAGTGTCTAAAGCTTGATGATTGCTTCTTCTTCATTATCTTCAAAAGGGTCCCTTCATCCCAAAGATTTGTACTCCGCCTGCCATGTTGAGGATCCCACACTTCTCCATCTAAGTTGACTCTCCGAGAAGGAGTATCAACAATTGCAATAGATGCAATTGCAATAGAGGGTGCTATATGATGAACCCTTTATTGCACTTGCAATAGACGGTTTCAGCTTTTCTCAATTTGGTAAAGTACTTAACAAGATGTAATTGCAATAGAGATTTGGTTTGAACTGGTTTCAGTTTGGTTTCAAGTGTTTTTGGTTTTGGACTGGATTATTATTATTATTATTTCAATTTTTTTTTTTTAAAATTCAAATCTTGACTAAAATTTTATTTTTTGGGCTTGAAAATTTATAAATGATCAAATTTCATGCAAAGACAGATATTAGGCCTAGAAAAGAGTGATGTTTTGTTCGCCTATCAATGGAGTATGAACTCACCAATTTCAACAAGGCCTTATTTTCCTCTTTAAGTTTCTCAACCTCTTGTTGAGACTAATGAAGCATTCTCCGAAGAGACGAATTTTCAGTGTTCAGCTCCTGAATCTCGTTTGCTCTGGCACGCAAACGATCAACCATGTTAAAAACAGAAGCAGCACTCTGGATACTAAAAGCTATTAAGTCATCAATAGCCTATTCGTCAGACCTTTCTGTTAACAGTATTTCATCTATAGGAGTAAAGAAATTCCTAGCTACTATGACAGCAGTCGTATCATTCATATCATCACAGAATCATTAACCGTGAGATGACGATTTTGGGATACAAGGGATTGACGCCATACTTTGGCGTCACGGGTTGTTTGGGGAGCAACATTTAAATCAAAATAATTTGGGCGAGAAGAAGAGGAAGCCATTTTAAGAAGGTTTCGAGGAAAGTCTTAGAAAAGCTGAATTTTCAAAAAATGGAAGGAAGTTGAGTTGAAACGCAGTTATTCCAATTAGGCTTTACAGAGGCAATATCTATAGATGGAAATGTGGCAGCGTATCCAGGATCCCAATATTTTCTCGGATCCCTATATTCTCTTTTTCTATTCCAAATTCCAAAACTTCACACGGCCTCCATTAATGTCTGTCGGCACTTTAAGGGTTTCAAGGATTATTTTCGTCAAAGTTGATCTTGCTTTGCTGATTTCACAGAGTTACTTTTTCAAAAGTATCTCGAGAACCTCACAATTTTCTGTAGTTAATTTGAGATTCACCGGATCAAACAGTTCCTCTAATTTGTGTATAAATATGTTACTAAAGAAATTTTCTTTACAAAATACATCCAGTTTTCTCCATATCTAGTGATGCAATATCCACTTGTTTTTCCTATTAGTGAGCGCTCGATGTACTTGAGAAGCGAGACTATCTTTGATCATCTATTCAGGAAGCAAGATTATCCCTTATCACGTTTCATCGAGATCAGGGAATTGTAAGGACGACCACATGCTCTAATCTCCTAAAGTTCTTCTAAGCTAGGAGAAATGAGAGTTTGTTGTATGTTACCTCACTAGTTTCCTTCCTTGATTTCTTACCTACCTTGCAATCAATATCAAAATTCTTTGTATCTTTTCTTTCTTTTTACAACTCTCTGTTCATAAGGAATTTTGTTTCTTTAGAACGAAGATCTGAAGAACAAATCCATGTAGTGAACCTAACACTGAGGGGTTTTTTTTTTTTTTTTTACAGAGACATAAGAATTGTGTTTTTTGCTCTTGCAGGATATAACTAGATCATCAGGCATTACATTGTATTTACTGAGCTGATACGAGCTTGAATGATATTTGAGCAAAGTTTCTCCTACCTAAGGATGTAAGCAATACTTGTGTTATTTCATGCTTGTACTCTTCTTTTGATATTTTGTACGACATCCTTAAAGGTAACCAAATGGGGAGATAAGACCATTCCAGAAGAACGCCATGCAAAGGACCATTCCAGAAGAATGACTTGCATTATAGATCGTTCTAGGAGAATGACTTGTATTATGACCATTCCATAAGAATGGCTTGTATCATTCTGATATGTATTCATGAATTATTAATGCAAATTTCACAGATTGCAAGTTGGATACATTGATGATACACTGCATAGATTAAAATCTCATAAGAACAGAACATGAGTATAGCAGTGATCAATATGATGCACACCGATTTCGTGGCAAATGATATGAATTGAAGTCCCAGAGGGACAATCCATTAACATGTCAATATTAATATGGTGCACGCCTAATGCGTAGTAAATTATATGGTTTAAAGTCCCAGAAGGACAATTAATTGACATTTATGTATTGATCTGTGCATGCCTATAGCATAAAAGATATATGGGTTCTAAATGTTCCAACTCTCTGAATAGAGATTATCCACTCCCTACTATAAAATAATGCTCCATTGGAGGTTAAGATCCACATTCTCACATAATTCATCTTATAAGAGATGTCTGTCTAGAAAGAGACAATAAAAGCCCTCTTGAGTGGCTTGGGTAGCAAAAGCAAAGAAAGGCTATAATTAATGCATGCGCATGCACATGAGAATAGTGGGATCATGAAATGATGATTGACAATTTTTGATTTTGGAGTAGCTAATCATCAATGGGTTGTGTTGATTGGAACCATGTTCTATTATTAAATGTCGACAATATCATTGGCCAAAAATGGAAAGAGGCAATTCCATTATGGATGAGAATGAACGTGAAAGAACAAACCCATAGCACGAACCCCAAAAGATGTTAACACTGAAGGTTATACATGGGTTTTCGGAATAAAGAGGAATATACTCACTTTATATGACACAATTTTTCTGGTAGAAACAATGAATATTGAGGTTCTCCATATTTATAGATGCAATTGTGCCTTCTTATCAGTGGCGGAGCTAGGATTCTTAGTATGGAGGGGCTAAAATTTCAAATCACTTTTACTAGGTTTTTAATCTTCAACTGGGAGGGCCATCACTAATCTAATTGCAGTTTTTGTATTACTATATCATATATTTTATAATATATTACAAGAGATTAATAATTAAGTGGGGGGGCCAGGGCCATGGCAGGCCTGGCTGTAGCTCCGCCACTGCTTCTTATTGTACATTTACGGAGACCAACATGTTATCTTTAAGGGTTATGCATATCGCTAGAAGCGATTCCCTAAAGGTGTACAAGCAGGACAAATAGCTGGATATAAAGCTATATAATGTGCTATAAAGTGTAATCCCTTAAATAAAATCCCTGAAGGATTTTAATTGCATGAAGCAAGTCTCTGAAGGACATGTGCTTGGAGCACAAATTTTGTACTCAATATTAATATGTATATATTGCCTCAATGAGTGCATTAATTATGATATGGTTGCAATACATTACAACTCCTGAAGAGTTGATAATTAATTAAAACTCCTGAAAAGTTGATAATTAGTTAAAACTCTTGAAAAGTTCAAGAAATATTTGTCTCGGCCCGAAGATCGAGCATTATGCCAACAAGATTCTTGCTTATACTAAGAAAGTATTGAAGCATTTTTATGTGGATTAAACGTTAGGCACTTAAATGATTTTTCGGAAATATACTAGACCAGACATTGTATTTTCCAGATAGAGCTCAGCTCCATCACAACTACTTTGGGATGATGTGAGACATATTTGATACCATCTCCGCATAAAATAATATACAAGCATATTCTTTTCAAGTGAACTTGCAAATAGCCCAGGTTTTTGTTTGATTCGCGAACTCTGGGATTTACATAGAGATAGCTCATTGGAAGTATATTTATTTACTCAACTAAGTAATTTTTTATGGTAACATCCTCCACTCACTCTGAAAGATTTTTCCTCCAGAAAGTTAGTCATGAAGATTTTAGGGGGAGATATTCATCATGGGGAGAATCTAGAAGTATGTTACACTAATTTCTGTACTATTCTTCTTTCAACCAGTTTCCTACTTCACTAGGCATTCTTCTAGCAAGACTTAATTAAGCAACCAACATGTTACTAGTGGTCTCCAAGGGGGAGTGTTGTAAAGTTATTGAAGACCAAGCCCACATGTTGGAAAGAAGCATCATGATGCCTCCCTTTTCTTTGCCTATAAATAGGCATCCTTACTACTTGCAAAGACACACAGAAAACCAACGGAGAAGAGAACTCAGGAAGAAAGAAGAGAAGGAAGAAAGAAGGGAAGTGAAAGGAGAGAAAAAGAGAGAAGAGAGAAATTCTCCAAGAGAGAAAAATCAGTGAGTCACAAATATTGTAAACACTGAAGTTGTAGCCCTATTATTTTACATAGTGGAAAGGTTACTACTGCTGCTCTCCGAGGATGTAGACATGGTTGAACCTCGTTAAAATATTGTGCCTTATTTACTTTACGTGCAACTTAATATTCTCGCATATTCCAGTTCATTTTACAACAAGACTATATATTTCGTTTAGTGGAAAAATTATTGTACTGTCTAGTTTTGGTCTTAATCAACTGAGTGCGTCGTACAACACTATACCTTTTACTAAAGAATACTTTTTTGTTTGGTTCTTTAAACAAAAAAAAAATTGATTGAATTATATGTTTCTTGAAACGTATTTATCATGATGTCATGTTCATGTCCTTGTGTCTTGCTCCTTTTTCTCCCTTGTTTTTCTATGATTTACCAGTCTTTCTCTGTTAGGCAGAGGTGAGGTTTGCCTTTACCTGCAAGAAACTAGCTACCTTCGTTGGAGATCAGAGGTCCCCTTCTTCTTTGTTTTTTTTTTTTTTGTCTTTCAATTATGTCTTACTCTCAGAAAATGGGAGGAAAGAGAACTCAAACTGATTCAGGAAGCAGATCGTCAAGCTCATCCATTTTACAAGATGATCAAGAAGGCTTTTCACCAACCTCATCAAACGCACTGGTACTTGTCCAAAACCCACCAATTGTCTCCTCCTACAATGAGAGAATCCGCCCCATGCTTGATGCCATTGACAAGCTCCGCAACCTCATGGTTATGGAGGAAGGCATACAGCTGCCCACCATTGTTGTTGTGGGAGACCAGTCATCTGGCAAATCCAGTGTTCTTGAGTCCCTCGCCGGCATCAGCCTTCCACGTGGATGGGGAATCTGCACAAGGGTTCCTCTCATAATGAGGCTTCAGCACCACTCTGATCCTGAACCAGAGCTTTCACTGGAGTACAATGGCAGAGTTGAGCACACTGATGAGGACAATATTTCTGAGGACATTGTGAATGCCACCAATCTGATTGCTGGGGACTGTAAGGGAATTTCAGACACCCCATTGACCTTGTTGGTGAAGAAGAATGGTGTGCCTGATTTGACCATGGTTGACCTCCCTGGAATCACTAGGGTTCCAGTTCGTGGCCAGCCTTTGAATATCGCTGATCAGATCAAAGATATGATCATGAAGTACATAAAACCAGATGAGAGCATCATTTTGAATGTTTTATCTGCTTCTACTGATTTTAGCACATGTGAGTCAATTAGTATGTCGCGGAGGGTGGACAAAACTGGTGAGAGGACTCTGGCTGTGGTTACAAAGGTTGATATGGCACCAGAGGGACTGCTGGAGAAGGTTACAGCTGATGATGTGCATATTGGTCTTGGCTATGTCTGCGTAAGGAACCGGATTCGAGATGAAGAGTATGAGGAGGCGAGGGCTATTGCGGATCGATTATTTGAAACTGATCCTTTTCTTTCGAAGATTGATAAGTCTATGGTTGGGATTCAGGTTTTGGCTGACAAGTTGGTCCAAATTCAAGCTGCTAGTATAGCTAGAAACTTGCCTGATATTGTAAAGAAGATCAATGACAAGCTGAATTCTTACCTTTCAGACCTCAACAAAATGCCGAAAAAGCTGTCATCTGTTGCTGAGGCCATGACTGCTGTTATGCAGATCATTGGAGCATCCAAAGAATCACTTAAGAAAATTCTTGTGAGGGGAGAATTTGATGAGTTCCCGGATGACAAACACATGCATTGCACGGCTAGGCTTGTTGAGATGCTCAATAAGTGCTCAGATCAGCTTCACGAGTGCAATGTGAGTGACCCCAAAAGTAATTTCTTAAAGGAGGAGATTGCAATTTTGGAGGAGGCAAAAGGTATAACCCTTCCCAATTTTGTTCCGCACAATGCTTTTCTTTTAGTCTTGCAGGGTAAAGTTAAGGGGATTTCGAGCATACCTATTGAGTTTGTTGAGCAGGTTTGGAGTTATATTGAGGATGTGGTTTTGTCTGTGTTAATAAGAAATACAGAAAACTATTACCATGTTCAATTGTCTGCCAGAAGAGCAGGCCATAATCTTATTGAAAAGATGAAACAAAGGTCGATTAATTGGATGACGGAGATAGTGGAAATGGAGAAACTAACTGATTATACATGTAATCCGGAATATATATCCGAATGGCATAGGCTCATGACTGAACAAGAAACATTCATAAAAAAGGTCTTGCATGATTATCTGATACTTGGACCCAACGCTAAGATAAACATAAATGTAGAGGGAATTGGGATGGTTGAAGTTGGAGGTCTAAGGAAGTACCCACATGTCCTATTGTCTCAAGCTTTCGACTTGAAAATGCGGATGACTGCGTATTGGAATGTTGTGCTGAGAAGGTTGATTGATATCATGGCTTTGCATTTGCAGCTGAGTGTTTCAAACTTTGTGAATAAGGACATGGAGATTGAGATTATGAATGACCTACTGGGACCTAACCATGGTGGTGGGATTGAGAGGATGCTGGAGGAACCTCCATCAATTGCAGTGAAGCGCCAGAAGCTCATCAAGAGCATCAAAAAGCTCAAGGAGTCTAAAGAGGTTGTGTGTAAGGTCATGGACGACAGGTTTACTCACACCGATTACCTTGTGTGATAGATAACTAAGGAGTCCAATTAAATTATGGTATGTTTCGTGTAAAAGAAGGCATTTTGCCAATGATGTGTGGTTGATCTGTTTGTACTTAATTATGGATCTGCATTTTGTTTATCATGTACCTGGTTGGTTGATGTTCTTGTGTGGATGATCTGTTTCTACTTAATTATAAGCACATTCTGTTTTTGTCTTTTGGGTTGCTAAACCTTACCAGGCTTGTTCCTGGAATAGGAGGAAATTTCTATCCTCTGTTCCTTCCTAGATCTCTAATTCACGACACTGGGGGTGATGGTAGAAACACCTTCCTTTGTCATGATCACATTTGAACCCTTTTGGGAGCTTTTCTCTTTGAGTTGGGACCCTCGTTAGTCTTCCATTTGGTCAATGGGAATCTATTGGCATTGGCTTTTGCCAAGCTCAATGGGAATAATTAATCACATCCCGATGGAGCTCTGGCCTTCTAGGCACTTGTTCTTTAGAATGTTAGATTCAATTAAAATGGACATGGATACTAACCATTGTTTGGTGAGCTTAAAATATATCATGGAATGGATATGAGTATTGGACACTAATCCAGAATAAGAGCGGCTCCAGAACCCATCACCAGACATGGGTTTATAAAGAAGTCGTCATCTCTTTTTCAACACAAAGTGGTCTTCTCTGGTTTGCCCTATTTGTCGTATTTTATTTTCCTCCTTCTCCTCTCTCCTCTCTTCTATTCTCTCTCTGTCTCCTGTCTTTCTCCCTCCTCTCTCTCTGTTTTATTTGTCTCATACAAGCTTCAAATCTCTCTCTCTCTCTCTCTCTCTCTCTCTCTCTCCCTAACTAAAAAAAGCTTCAGATTTCTCTCTGTTTTTATTATATAATTTTTTTTATTGACCTCAGATTGGAAACTAATCATTGATATGAGTTTGAGTTTCTGGTTTATTTCTTGCAAAAGTTGGGGGCTTTTTCTTCAATTTGAGGCAAAAAAGTTAGGAATTTGCATCTGATTCTTGTTAAGAAAATAATTAAAAAAAAAATAAAATTGAACTCAATCCTAGTCTGTTGTTTGGTGCAAAATTGAATGGGGACTGGACTTCAAATCCAAGCCAGCCCAGTCTAATGTTTCAAAACCCATTCTAACCAGTTCAAGCCAGCTTATCAAACGGGGTCTGAGTTTCATCCTCTTTGGTTAGCCACCAATCGAAGGTAGGCTAGCCACTGTAGACAGACTTTATGCCTTCTTTGTAATTCTTTCCTTGAGTCTCATGAACATTTGTTCTTTGTATAGAGACTCACTCTGTAATTTTTGTTGCACAAAATGGTTAAAAAATTTTTATTACAAAATACAAAAATTTAATTTGTAAAGAGACAAAATTCTGAAAATTTTGTTTTTTTATTTTTATATATAGAATCTGATCAACTATTTACATTAAGTAAAGTTGGAATAGATCCCAGACTTCATAGGGAGATAGCCACCACTACTACTACTACTTTAGAAAGGACCGAATGGCGTGCCTTATACCTGTAAAATGGTGGGGAGACCGGAATCGCTTTTGTCGCTCCGGATTTCCTCTTGGCCGAAAGGGTCGAGGCAGGAAGGAGAACGCTATATATACACCTCTTTGTACCTGGGACTAGACATAATAGCTTGAGAAAGGCTTGGGAAAGTACGTTGTGTATTTTATAGCACACGAGATAGGCTTGGCTTAGAGCCTACACCAATCTATCTGTTCTATCTGTAATAGTTCGATCTGTCTTCCTGAGATGAGAATTTGTTTTGAAATAGCTAGATTAGATTAGAACGCCTTGGCTTATTGTGTGATTTTTGAGCAGGAGCGAGCAGAGCGAGCTGTCTTTGGCACAATCTGTACTGTAGCCGGGAAAGCCTGTAAACAGGAGTCAAGCTGTTCACAAGCAGTGGTTATGAGCCGTATCTCGCATCTAAAGCCAATCCATTTACAAGTGAAATCTTGCCCAACTCCAACTACAAGGAAAGAAAGGGGTGAGGTGCTCATTCTGTATAAATTGGGTCTCTCGGAACCATGGGCGGCGAAAACTAGGATGGAATCATAGGTAAGGGATGACATAACTGGGGAGTAGGAATGGCAGATCCGTTTTTTTCCCAACATTATGAACTCTTCAACTTGTAGTCCACCAAGAGGCTAAATCCTCTCCTGAGTTCCGTCTGAGCCCAGGTTTGTAAACCAGCCATTCAATGGAAGACTTTGTCTTCTTATTTAAAAGAAAAAAAGAAAAAGAATATGGCTCTGTACTAGAAAAAACGAAGAAGGAATTTGGTTCGAACACTACGATACTTTCCACTAAGAGCTTCCACAGTGGGAAGGTGTAAATTCAGGATTGTAAAGCCACTTTTATATCCCATTTACACATCTCCTGCAGATATAAATTACGTTTTTGCTCTAATGGGTGAGATGTAAATCTAAAAATGTAAATTTAATTTTCTTGTATTGACTCGTTTTTTAGTTAACTAAGGGCAGATATAGTGCTGACGACTACTCTACAAATGTTGTTGTCTCTATAGTTGCCACGTCTATTTTCTGACCTTATTTTTTTTTTGGGTCAATAGTGATGAAGTTTCCATTAAGATGATGAAGGCAAGTCATGAGTGGAAGCCGAGATACATCAAATGAAACCAGGAGTTCGTAGGCTAAAAGACATATCTAAAAGCCCCGAGACATAAAAAGAAAAGCAAACAAACACATAGACTTCATAATTAAGTACAAACAGATCAGCAAATGACAGAATGCCTTGATTAACAAGAAACAGACCATAATTTAGCTAGACTCCTTAGCTATATCTATCACACAATAAGTTAATTGGCAAAAGTAACGATTCCATCCATGATCTTACACACAACCTCTTTAGACTCCTTGAGCTTTTTGATTCTCTTGATGAGCTTCTCACGCTTCACTGCAATTGATGGAGGTTCCTCCATCATCCTCTCAAACCCAACCCCATTGTTAGGTCCCATTAACTCACTCACAATCTCCGTCTTCATGTCCTTGTCCACAAGGTTCGAAACACTCAGCTGCAAATGCAAAGCCATAGAATCAATCAACCTTCTCAGCACAACATTCCAATATGCAGTCATCCGCATTTTCAAGTCGAAAGCTTCAGACAATAGAGAATGTGGGTACTTCATTAGACCTCCAACTTCAACCATCCCGATTCCCTCTACATTTATTTTTATGTCAGTGTCAGGTCCAAGTCCCAGATCATGAGAATTACGAATTACCTTTGTGATGAATGTTTCTTGTTCAGTCATGAGCCTATGCCATTCGGATACATATTCTGGATTACATGTATAATCAGTCAGCTTCTCCATTTCCAAAATCTCCGTCATGCAATGAATGGACCTTTCTTTCAACCTTTGAATAAGATTTTGGCATGCTCTTCTGGCAGACAGTTGAAGCTGATAATATTTTTCTGTATTTCTCATTAACACAGACAAAACCACATTCTCAATATAATTCCAAACCTGCTCAACAAACCCAAGAGGTATGCGTGTAATCCCCTTCACTTTTCCCCGCAAAATTTGAAGAAAAGCATTGCGCTGAACAAAATTGGGAAGGTTGATACCTTTCGCCTTTTCCAAAATCGCAATCTCCTCCACTAAGAAATTACTTTTGGAGTCACTCGCATTGCACTCGTGAAGTTGATATGAGCACTGATTGAGCATCTCAACCAGCCTAGCCGTGCAATGCATTTGGTCATCCGGGAACTCGTCAAATTCTCCCATCAAAAGAATCTTCTTAAGTGATTCTTTGGATGCTCCAATGATCTGCATAAAAACAGTCATGGCCTCAGCCACAGTTGACAGAGTTTTCGGCAATTTGTTGAGTTCTGACCGATTCCCTCTACATTTATTTTTATCTCAGTGTCAGGTCCAGGTCCCAGATCATGAGAATTACGAATTACCTTTGTGATGAATGTTTCTTGTTGAGTCATGAGCCTATGCCATTCGGATACATATTCCAGATTACATGTATAATCAGTCAGCTTCTCCATTTCCAAAATCTCCGTCATCCAATGAATGGACCTTTCTTTCATCCTCTGAATAAGATTTTGGCATGCTCTTCTGGCAGACAGTTGAAGCTGATAATATTTTTCTGTATTTCTCATTAACACATACAAAACCACATTCTCAATATAATTCCAAACCTTCTCAACAAACCCAAGAGGTATGCCTGAAATCCCCTCCACTTTTCCCTGCAAAATTATAAGAAAAGCATTGCGCTGAACAAAATTGGGAAGGTTGATACCTTCACCTCCTCCAAAATCTCAATCTCCTTCATTAAGAAATTACTTTTGGAGTCACTCTCATTGCACTCGTGAAGTTGAAATGAGCACTGATTGAGCATCTCAACCAGCCTAGCCGTGCAATGCATTTGTCGGTCACCCGGGAACTCGTCAATTTCTCCCTTCAAAAGAATCTTCTTAAGTGATTCTTTGGATTCTTCAATGATCTGCATAAAAGCAGTCATGGCCTCAGCAACAGTTGTCAGAGTTTTCGGCAATTTGTTGAGTTCTGAAAGGTAAGAATTCAGCTTGTCATCGATCTTTTTTACAATAACAGGCAAGTTTCTAGCTATGCTAACAGCTTGAATTTGGACCAACAAAGAGAATCATGATGCAGATCATGATTCCAAACAATCAGCCCATTCCATGAAATCAGTCGATCCCACTAAATCAGCATTGACAGACTCCCCATCACAAGATCAGCTTCATCCCAGCTAGGAATTAGTTTACAATTGATTGTGTAATATATGAGATTAGTTATACTTACCTTATATTACTTACCTTCTGTAAATAGACTTGAGAAAGTCTAACCCGTGTACAATATATATACAGCTGATAATACAAGAACATATTATCTTGGTATGTGCAATTATTCTTCACTTCTGTCTCTCATCTCTCTTCCTCTTCAGTTTATTTTCTTATATGGTATCAGAGCTCTTCGGAGCTAACCCTTCAAATATCGATCCTACCCAAACCAATGGCCACCACACCTAAGTCTGGAGAATCAAGCAATATTGATATGTCAAAAATGATTTCTGAAATGTCAAAACTTTCCTCACCTCCATTCTCATCTCATCCCTTGCCCATTTCTTTCAATATCTCATCGTTGTTCCCAGTTCCTATGGATCGCACCAACTACTTGAGTTGGAAATCCCAATTTGAAGATGTATTGGAGATGCACGGCCTTGCAGCAGTCGTCAAGAACAACACAGACCCACCCAAAGTGCAAGAAGATGGATCTGTGCACCCAGAGTTAGCCAAGGATAAACTGGTCCTGAGTTGGATCAAAGCGACTTCCTCTTCTTCCATCAAGACACTTCTCATCCCTTGTACCACTGCTCATCAGGCCTGGACCATGCTGGCCAAGCGCCTCTCACCTCTTGCTAGTACCCGTGTACGGATTCTTCGAGACCAAATTCGCACTCTCAGAAAGGACACCAACACAACAGTGACTGATTATCTCAATTATGCCAAATCACTCTTTGATTCCCTCACACAAGCTGGTGCAACAATGGACGATGATGAACTCATCAGTTATGTTCTGGATGGTCTTGGTCTTGAATACAAAGAGTTAGCCACAACACTTCACCTGCATCCAGATATTGATTTCGATAAATTCTATGATCTAGCTTTAAGGGAAGAACATTTACAGAAAAGAATGTCTCTCACCGTTGCTTCAGGGGTTGCAATGGCTGCTGATCGGAGGTCCACTGAGCGCAACTCTAGTCCAAACTCCATTGGTCACAATCCAACTCATTCCTACGGTCAACCATGGTCAAATTAGGCACACCATTCTTCTTCACCAACAAGGTCAATGGGGTGTCTGAAATTCCCTTTTTGTCCCCTGCAATCAGATTAGTGGCATACACAATGTCTTCTGAAATGTTTTCCTCATCAGTCTGCTCAACTCTGCCATTGTACTCCAGTGAAAGCTCTGGTTTAGGATCAGAGTGGTGCTGAAGCCTCATTACGAGAGGAACCCTTGTGCAGATACCTTGTCCACGCGGTAGGCTGATGCTGGCGAGGGACTCAAGAACACTGGATTTGCCAGATGACTGGTCTCCCACAACAACAATGGTGGGCAGCTGGATGCCTTCCTCCATAACCATGAGGACGCGGAGCTTGTCAATGGCATCAAGCATAGGGCGAATTTTGTCATTGTAGGATGAGACAATTGGCGCGTTGTTGAAAAGTAGCTGTGCTTTTGATGAGGAAAATGATAAGCCCTCTTGATCATCTTGTAAAATGGATGAGCTTGATGATCTGCTTCCTGAATCAGTTTGAGTTCTTTTTCCTCCCATTTTCTGAGATATAATTGAAAGAAAATGGGAAGAGGAAGTCATGGACAAACCGAGAGAGGAGAAAAAATTGAAGGGGGTTGTTTTAGGCAAACTTGACCGCTGCCTAACAGAGAAATCATGGATAAATAGAGAAAAAAGATACATAAACATGTGCACAATGTGAAAGATGCAGACATAGGAATCTTTTACCTTAATATGGGAATTTATGCTTTGGTTTTTGTTTTACATCGGAAGGGAACTTATGCTTTTGTACATCAAATAGTGGCCGAAAATGCTTGAACCACTCACTTCAATAATGCATGACAAGTTACACAAAATGGTGTCTACACTATCAAAAGTATCAGTGAAGTTCTCTTTAGTGTTCACACTATCACACGAATTTAAACGCAAGAATATAAGAGTGAAAACTTTTAGACCATCTCGAAAGGTAAAAGACTGAAACCCGAAATTTCACCTCCAGAAATACAACTTTTCATCTATACATAGGACTCAAACTGTTTTTTTTTTGGGGGGGAGAGGATGGCAGGCCTTGTTGTGGCTTCACCCCTGTGCAAGTGGGCAATAGTATTACTCCAGAATATGGACCGGTGTATCTACAGTAACGGCACGTGGAGTTTTATGTTATCTTCAACTCCCATGTGCCTTCAAATGTGAAGGCCTCAAAATAGTAGGAGTTCAAATTTGAGTGATTAGAAAAGATGTGATTGCTATGTCATGTGCAATATATTTTAAAATATATGATATAGCAATACAATTACTGCAATTAGATTACTGCTGGCCCTCTCAGAAAATGAAAAACCTATGTGTAAGTGATTTTGTAATTTTGGCCCCCTCCATGCTAAGAATCCTAGCTCCGCCACTGCACTTACATATTACATTTCGTGTTCTTAAGAAATCTACATATTATATTCAAGAATCAAGCTCAATCGCATAATAGTAAGAAAAGGAAAAGACTCAATATTTAGAGCACACTTGGAGCCCTAAGTGGTGTGCTCTCCAAGAGCATAGCATTTCAGGGCATGATCAAGCTGATCATCTAGTTTCATACAGGACTTGCACTCTTGCTTGTTTGAAGCCAAAAGAGAATTCTTATTAGGATAGGCACGATTCATATTTACATGGTTAAGAGCACAATAGAAAACGAGGGTGCATTTGTCGTTAACATCTTCATCCAAAAGGTCTTGCGTGACGCTGAGATAAACATAAATGTAAAGGGAATTGAGATGGTTGAAGTTGGAGGTCTAAGGAAGTACACACATGTCCTGTTGTTTCAAGCTTTCGACTTGAAAATGCGGATGACTGCGTATTGGAATATTGTGCTGAGAAGGTTGATTGATATCATGGGTTTGCATTTGCAGCTGAGTGTCTCAAACCTTGTGAACAAGGGCCTGGAGATGGAGATTATGAATGAGCTACCGGGACCTAACCATGGTGGTGGGATTGAGAGGATGCTGGAGGAACCTCCATCAATGGCAGTGAAGCGCCAGAAGCTCAGCAAGAGCATCAAAAAGCTCAAGGAGTCTAAAGAGGTTGTGTGTAAGATCATGGACGACAGGTTTACTTACGCCGATTATCTTGTGTGATAGATAACTAAGGAGTCCAGTTAAATTATTGTATGGTTCGTGTGAAGGAAGGCATTTTGCCAATGATGTGTGGTTAATCTGTTTGTACTTAATTATGGATCTGCATTTTGTTTATCATGTACCCGGTTGGTTGATGTTCTTGTGTGGATGATCTGTTTCTACTTAATTATAAGCACATTCTGCTTTTGTCTTTTGGGTTGCTAAACCTTCCCAGGCTTGTTCCTGGAATAGGAGGAAATTTTTATCCTCTGTTCCTTCCTAGATCTCTAATTCACGACACTGGGGGTGATGGTAGAAACACCTTCCTTTGTCATGATCACAATTTGAACCCTTTTGGGGGCTTTTCTCTGAGTTGGGACCCTTGTTAGTCTTCCATTTGGTTAATGGGAATCTATTGGCATTTGCTTTTGCCAAGCTCAATGGGAATAATTAATCACTTCCCAATGGAGCTCTGGGCTTCTAGGCACTTGTTCTTTAGAATGTTATAGCCCTGTTTGATAGGCCGGATTGGATTAGGTAGATTCAATTGAAATGAACATGGATCCTAACCATTGTTTGGTGGGCTTAATTGTCTCATCCTACAATGACAAAGGTTATTACAGCTGATGATGTGGACATTGGTCGGCTATGTCTGTGTAAGGAACCGAATTCGCGATGAAATGTATGAGGAGGCGAGGGCTATTGCGGATTGATTATTTGAAACTGATCCTTTTCTTTCGAAGATTGATAAGTCTATGGTTGGAATTCAGGTTTTGGCTGACAAGTATCAATGACAAGCTGAATTCTTACCTTTCAGAGCTCAACAAAATGCCTAAAAAGCTGTTATCTGTTGCTGAGGCCATGACTGCTGTTATGCAGATCATTGGAACATCCAAAGAATCACTTAAGAAAATTCTTGTGACGGGAGAATTTGATGAGTTCCCGGATGGCAAACACATGCATTGCAAGGCCAGGCTTGTCGGGATGCTCCATAAGTGCTCAGATCAGCTTCACGAGTGCAATGTGAGTGACCCCAAAAGTGATTTCTTACTGGAGGAGATTGCGATTTTGGAGGAGGCAAAAGGTATCAACCTTCCTAATTTGTTCCGCGCAATGCTTTTCTTATAGTTTTGCAGGGTAAAGTTAATGGGATTTCGAGCATACCTATTGGGTTTGTTGAGCAGGTTTGGAGTTATATTGAGGATGTGGTTTTGTCTGTTTAACGAGAAATACAGAAAACTATTACCATGTTCAATTGTCTGCCAGAAGAGCAGGCCATAATCTTATTGAAAAAGATGAAAGAAAGGTCAATTAATTGGATGACGGAGATAGTGGAAATGGAGAAACTGACTGATTATACATGTAATCCGGAATATCTATCTGAATCGAATAGGCTCATGACTGAAAAAGAAACATTCATCAAAACGGTCTTGAATGATTATCTGATACCTGGACCTGACGGTACAAACATAAATGTAGAGGGAATTGGGATGGTTGAAGTTGGAGGTCTAAAGAAGTACCCACCTGTCCTATTGTCCCAAGCTTTCAACTTGAAAATGCGGATGACTGCGTATTGCAATAATATTATGGCTTTGCATTTGCAGCTGAGTGTTTCAAACCTTGTGAACAAGGACTTTGAGATGGAGATTATGAATGAGCTACTGGGACCAAACAATGGTGGTGGGATTGAGAGGATGCTGGAGGAACCTCCATCAATTGCAGTGAAGCGCCAGAAGCTCATGAAGAGCATCAAAAAGCTCAAGGAGTCTAAAGAAGTTGTGTGTAAGATCATGGACGACATGTTTAATTACGCCGAATACCTCGTGTGATAGATAACTAAGGAGTCCAGTTAAATTATGGTATGTTTCGTGTGAAAGAAGGCATTTAACCGACTGGGTTTGCGTGTCATGGTAATTTTGAGGTTTTTCTTGTTCTTTTGAAGGATCTTGCCTGATTGGGCTTATATGCGTTCACATGATCACAGCTTCATATTTGTCATCATTATGCAAGTGTTCATATATACTCTTCGGAATGAGAATGCAAAGGTTTGAGACTTTATATTGGCATGATTTGTGTTATTTATATGCAAGGGTCCCAAAACTATAATGAACTGAAAGTGCAATAGGTTGATTTTATGGAAGTGCTTTTGTAATATGGAAAGGCAAAATAAATAAATAAACGCTCTTTTAAGAATTTTTTTTTATGTGATTCTTCCCCTTCCAATCTAAAACAAAATTCCCCAGACACAAAGACAGCCAACTCTCAGCTTGTGGAGTTTACCCTTCTGCCACCCAAAGTAAAACTAGATTTCCTTCTTTGAACTCGTAGCCTTTCAGAAAAACTGAACAATAAGGAAAGTGCCTTCTCTTCTGAACAAGTCGATGAACTCCCTCCCATGAAGCAATCTCACCACGCAGCGCCTGGACGAAAGCAGAGAGAAAAGCCTCTCCAACCATTTGTTTTCTGTTCTTTGCAAATACCTTAAGTGTGATTGAAACTGTGAAACTTTTAAGATTTGTTGCCTAATAAAGCGATTTTCAGAATGTCCTATGGCTACCAAATTACTAGATCTGAATTTGATGTGGTAGACATCGGACGAATGTGCTGTGTTATTTCCTCTTCTAAGAGGGTCACTAACTGAAGATTGCATATAGAACAACAATGACTGTACCTGCTCATAAAAATGCTTGACATGTAGACAATTACGGACTCTGGATATTTTTAACATTTCAAGAGAAAACTATCATGCAGAGACATGGTCCAAACAGGGAAACGTATGGAAATTAGGGGGAGTGAGTTTGCAGGAATTTACAACAAATTAGCATATCACCAATGGTTTCCTCACTGCTATACCACATATAAGAAATCCAATCATTTTCATGGAAGGTTTTGTTGATGATTAGCTTTGAGATATGGGGAAAAAGGACAACATAGCAGCCAACGAGGTGGTGTTCAATGTGATGCAAGGCACCGCAAAGTAAATATAGGACAAGTTGGAACAAATGTGCAAGTCAATGTCCCTTAGAGCAGTTCCAGCGGGCAATAATTTGCCCGGGCAAGGGGGCCTAGGCCCAAAAAGTGTTTCCAGCGGGCAAATGCAGCCAGAGCAGTTGGTGGGCTCCACAAGTCTGGACTGGCCCAAAGGCAAGAACAGCCTGGGCTGTTGCCGGGGTTTGCTGATGTCAGCAATGACGTCATCAACAAAAATAAAAAAATGAAAATAAAAAAAACTTAAAATTTCAGATTTAAAAAAAAATAATAATACTTGGTCATATTCTTCACTTCCCACATCAAAACTCTATACAAATTCCTCTCCTCATATCTCATGTGAATAGTGGTTTCCCTTGAGTTTCCTAGCAATGGATAGAAACACCACAAACCTTTTGCAAGAGCTGTCACTATTCACGTGAATAGTAACAGTCATTGTCTTATCTTTGCCTTTTGCCATGGTAAATGGGTGGAAGTGCTCTTAAGAGTGCGCTCCTTCATATTGAGCACCTAAACACCTTTAATTGGTGTGTTGCGGACTTGCAACGAATGCATGTGATGTATCATCTAGACAATAAGGCTCTCTTGTTGTGGAGATCCTTACCGTTGTCATATAACTCACGTCAACAAAGAATTCATCACGTAACACGTTGGATCAAGCAAGAGCCAAAATAAGAGGCTCAACTTCAGATAATATGGGCACTTGCAAAAAAGAGCTTGAATAATAGGCTCAACATAAGATAATGTGGGCACTTGCAGCTGGCCATTTTGTGTTGTCATGTATTATGAAGTGACCTGGTTCGTATTCAGTATTTGATGTCCAAAAGCATAAGTGTACTGTCTCAAGTCCTTTTGAAGTCCAAGTGACCTGGTGCTATATGATGAACCCTCTATTGCAATTGCAATAGATGGTTTCAGCTTCTCTCCATTTGGTAAAGTACTTAACCATATGCAATTGCAATAGAGGTTTGGTTTGAATTGGTTTCAGTCCTGTTTCCAGTTTTTCCGATTTTGGACCGGATTATTATTATTTTTTCAAATTATTTTTTTAAATACAAATTCCGACTAAAATTTTATTTTTTAGGCTTGAAAATTTACAAATGATCAAATTTCATGCAAAGAGAGATATTGGGCCTAAAAAAGAATGATGTTTTGAAGTTGGATTTTGGGAAATATTAGTTATAAGATTAAAAGGTAGTATTGGATTTAAATAATTTTGTAAAAAAAAATAATATATATACACACACAACCGGTCTAGTACGATTTGGTAAGGTGTGAAACCAAAATTGAAACCAGTTTGAACTGGTCCGGTCCAGTTTATTGAGTTTTTCGTCAACTGATTTGTTTTCCGATTTTTTCCATCCGGTCCGGCTAGGTGTTCCGATTTTTCAGTCTCGATGCCCACCCATAGATATAACTATTGATCTGAAGCTATTGAACTGTACCATTGCAAGAAAAGTTGTAGTTCAATTTAATCGATGTCAAAATAGTTCAATAAATTAAACTATTGCGTTGAACTATTGAACAACCATTGTGGATGCTTAGGAGCTTGGGAATGTGTTTCAAATTGCATACCTATGTTTGGTAAGTGCACTCTTGGGAATGCAATTATGAACTCATAGATAAGGACTTCCCATGTAGGGGCGGAGTTCATGCCCTCGACTCACCATAGGAAACTTTTTCCCCTCACTTGAGAAAGCATTTAATACTATTTTTTTAGACTAACTTACTCATGTTATTATTTTTAAATACCACTTTTTACACCCTTAAAAAAACTCTTCATATATTAACCTTTAATAATTAAAAAAAATCAAGGGTAATGTTGGAAACTTAATAACTTTTCATTCCTAATACTGCACTAACCAAACATGGGAATGGGAAATAGTTGCATTTCCTAGTCCTCATTTCCCACTGTTCCCAAATGTGGGAATGAACATCCTCCATTCTCATCTTGTGGGATTAAATATGGGAAATTTATTTCTAAGAAGTTCAATGGCGAACCACACATGCCAAAGGTGACTGTACCTTTTGGATTTTGCTTTTGTTTGCCTTCGGCTTATTCATACTCATTCGCAAAATAATATCATTTTTTTCACCATTAAACTTAGATGGGCAAGACCAACATGGCCCGTTTATTAAATAAGTTGACTTTATACAGGCTGGACCGGCCCAACATGGCCCATTTAACACCTCTAATTAAACACCTATAGAAACTCATGATATACTTTTGTAACAATTTCTATTAATTTAATCACACACACGTGACATAGCTTTCTTTTGAGAGACTTTTTTTGTTCGTTCCTCCCCTAAACTCAAACCCTATTCGCACTCTTCCCTCCTTTCCTTTTCTCTGGTCACAATGCCTAGTCATTTCAAACAAAGACGAGATAGACGATAGGGGAACATTGGAACTTTCAAAAAGTTTTGGAAGAATAAGAACCAAACCGAAAGTCGAGCATGAGGAGGATTGTCAACTTTTTATTTTACTTTTTTCCAATAAAACAAATCCGTGTGGTACGAAGCTATGACGCTTTCCACTGACAAAGGGCTGACGACTAGTCAAACAAATGCTGTTGTGGATAGGTGCCGAAATTATTTTCTTACATATAGGATAAGACATCCATGTCCAACAGAATCAATTACACAAAACAAATCAAACAGATCATAACACTACTAGAAAACCATAGTATAAGCTACAAGGTTGGTTGTTGCCAATATAATTATAGGCCCCAGATAATCTATAGCTTATAAGTCCGTTTTCTAGTAGTGTAAATAATTACTTGGCCAGTTTATCCATGCGTATTGTTCATTATGTTTAGGTACATAATTATTACTTTTATGCAATAATTGGTGATGAATTTATTGTATCAGGTAGTTTTACAAGTGGATCAATCAGTGATGACATTAGCGTAAGTATTTGAACATTCTAATTGCTCATAGCGGTAGGAACATATGCTACTTAATTAATCCGACGACCAAATCATTATATGTTGATTGGCTCGCCTAATTCTCGCGGATTTTGTCTAACTCTATTTTTGGTTTTTGTAAATATCTAACTCTTTTATTATTTTTGATGGTTTAATTACACCAATAATTCATGTGGAGAAATTCATATGACGACAAAAAGATATATCTAAAACTCATTTGACAAATGAAGACTAATTAGAAAAATTATTGTACTGTCTGGTTTTGGTCTTAATCAACTGAGTGCGCCGTACAACACTTTAACTTTTACTACAGAATGCTTTTTTGTTTGGTTCCGTAAACGGTAAAAAAGAAGATTGAATTATAATTTATATGTTTCTGAAACGTATTTATCACGATGTCATGTTCATGTCCTTGTGTCTTGCTCCTTCTCACCCCCTCTGTTTTTATATGATTGTTGTGAAATTATTGCAAGCGCACAATTCGTACAAGTA